CTGCGGGCAGGCCCGTGCGACAACACGGTCATCGTGCTACCGATAGGAGCGCTGAGCGCAGTCGTGCTGCTGCAGCAAGCAACGCTGGATAGGGAACGAAGCCCCTCTGTGGCCCCCCAAGAGCGCCCGGTTGCACGAGGAGTGCTGGGAGGAGCAGCCGCGGAAGGACCTCAGGAACAGCGGGCCCCTTCCGAACACGAGGCGGTCCTCATTTCAGCGTCTCGGCTGTACCACGAGGAGCGCGGAAGAAGGAACGAAGGGGCTTCTGCTGGCCACGTCGAGCCTCGGCCGCGAACAGGCCCCCCACACACAGGCCCGAGCGCCAGAGCCCCCCCCCTCAGCCGAGAGAGGCCCCCCCCTGTTTCAGCGTGCTCCAGCGTCTCGACCACACCCCTGGGCACCCGGGCGTGCCGGGAGAGTCCGCGACGTGCGCTCTTGCCCCAGCGAGGGCTCGGAGGCCCCCACGCATCGATCCAGCTCGGGCGAAGTGCACAGGGATGGGGCCCGGAGCTCCCGCCGTGACCTGCTTCACGGCGTCGTGATGTCTCTGGGCTCTAGACGTCGGGCGTCGGTCGTCAGGGATCCACCCGTGCATTCCCCTCCTCTCTCTCTCTCTCTCTCTCTCTCCTAGGAGTGTGGGAAGGGGGAGGGAGGCACTGACGAAGTCTGAACTGCACGCTGCGCCCGGCCGAATATCCGCCCGTATGATTGTCCGGGGACAGGTCCCTGCCCGCCCTGCCCTTGAATCCGCCGCCCCAGAGGTCCCGACCGCTTGCATGGGGACAGGCTTTCGCCCTGGATCCATTTCTGATCGCCCCAGGGCCCGAAAAACGGCCACCGAGGTCAGAGATCGAGAAAAGCTGGCGTTGAAATGATCGTGCCGTCAGAGATCTGGGATCGCGCCCGGACCCCGAGCCCGACCGGCATGCCGACGTGTCGGACGGGACGCAGAAGGACATACTGGTGCGATGTGTGGATGTGAGAGGGCTCACATCTGGCACAAACATGAAGAACACGAGTCTTAGGGCATATCTTTTCCCGAGCGGTATGGCCAGAAAGCGCCCGCCACGGTGCCTGCACTGCAAGACTCCTGAGAGTGCGCGTCGCCCCGTCGACGCGCACATAGTACAAGGTATGTTTGGGTGGTGCCGAAAGGATGCCGCGCCTCGACGGGCATGCTCGAGAGCCCCAGGGGTCCCGTGGATGGCTCCAGCACGGCACGCCGGGGAGCCCCAGGGCCCTGCACGAGCTCTCCGGGAAGCGACTCCCAAGTCCCGCGGGGATCGTTCAGCCTCGAACGAGATTGGCGGCATGAACGATCGGCGGCATGAGGGGGGGACGCCTCGACCTGGAATCCGCGATACATCGCCGATATACCGGCGATACCGACAGTGAATCCGCACCTCCCTGGGCGGGGTGGGGCCATCGCGCCCCCACCAGCGAGCAGTGAGCGATTGGGGGTCTATGCATCCCCCCCTATGCCTACCCCCCTGTCGTTGCCCCCGAGGACGATCGGCGGCCTTTCGATCGTTTCTTGACGCTTCCATCCCGAGTCGTTTCTTGACGGCCCCGGGGCCCTGCGAGGGCCCCCAGAGGCCGAGAACGAACGGTGAAAAACCGTCGTCCTGATTTTTCCCCAAACAGCTTGCTGAACGGGGTGCTGCTGTGATAGAAGCTAACTCCGGCCGAGGGAAGTGGAAGCAGAGACATCCTCACAAAAATCCCACCAGCCCTCTGGGCGTAGGTGGTTCCGGGAATTTCCTCTGCCACCCCTCCTTCTTCCCCTTGGGGAGGGGTTTACCCCTCCCCCTAACCCCCTCCCCTGGACCTGGACGGGGGGGGCCGCTGGTAGTTAGAGCGTCCAAAACGGCCTCGGCGAGGAAGCCAAAATCATCGGTTTTCCTCGGGTTTTGGCCCCATTTTGGCCTCTTGGGGGGGCAGGGCTAATTAACTCCACCCTCTTCTTTGATCGATCGCTTCCAAGATGGCCCCAAAGGGCGCCCAGAAGGCCCCAAGAGGCTTCCAAGAGGCCTCCAAGAGGCCCCAAGAGGCCGCCATGAGGCCCCAAGAAGCCCCCAAGAGGCTCCAAGAGGCTCCCAGGATGGTTCCAAGAGGCCTCCCAGAGGCTCCAAGAGGCCGCCATGAAGCTCCAAGAGACCCCCAAGAGGCCCCAAGAGGCCTCCAACAGGCCCCCAAGAGCCCCCCAAGAGGATCCCAAGCGGCCTCAAGAGGCCCTCCCGAAGCACCCAAGACGCCCAAGAGCCCCCATTGACCGCCAAGAGACCCCCAAGACGCCCGAAGAGGCTTCCACAAGGCTTCCAAGAGGCATCCGAGCGGCATTCAACCATCCACCCAGCGTCATCATTCTCCTCATCCCTCCTTCGCTCGGTTCCTCGCCACCCCCTCATCTATCCATCTGGCCTCCTGTTCCGCCTCATCCTTTGCACGGATCGGCTGTCCCTCTCGTTGCTCCCCCACTTCCCTGATCTCTTCAACTTGCCTGGACATCGTTTCTGGATGGGCTGGTGGGGATACGCGAAGCGTCAAGAATTTGATGGTCCGGGCCGTTTCGCTTGAGACATCCTCACAACTCTCATTTCTGAGCTGGCTATAACTGTTTTACGACGCGACCATGTCCGGGCCCCCTATCGTTGCCCCCGACGCCGACAGGCGGCCTTTCGATCGCCAGCTCACTCCACGGGGGGCCGATCCCGGGCCAGCGGCGGCGCTCCACCTCGAAACGCCCGCGGCGAGGGGCGCTGCCGCGTCGGCACGGCACGAGCCTGCCGTACCCGTACCCCCCCTTTCGAGATCCGAGCGCCGACGCTGCGCCGAGAGCCAACCCCGTCCAGCAGTAGGCGGCGCACACCAGGGGGGGCAGGGGGAGGAGGGGGGGAGGCTTCTCAGGAGGAGGAGAAGGAGGAGGAGGAGAAGGAGGAGGAGGAGAAGGAGGAGGAGGAGGAGGAGAAGGAGGAGGTGGAGCGTGGCCTGGAGGAGGAGGAGGAGGAGGAGGAGGAGGAGGAGGAGGAGGAGGAGGAGGAGGAGGAGAAGGAGGAGGAGAAGGAGGAGGAGGAGGAGGAGGAGCAGCAGGAGCAGGAGGAGGAGCAGGGGGAGGGGAGACGGCTCCTTAGAAGGAGCCCGCTTCTTAGAATGCGCCGGCCTTACATCTACAGATAAGTCCCGCGCCTTGCAAGAAGCAGGGGTGCTTCTAAGAAGCCTTCCCCCCTCCCCCTACCCCTCTCGGCGCGTGGCCGAAGCATCACGGACAGACTGCTGCGGCTGAGGAGGTCAAGGTCTCACGCGGCAGTTGCTTCCTGGCGTCGGAAGTCTGGCCTTTGCCTGAGCATGGCCCGAAACCCCGAGGCGAGTCCTTCGCGGGCACGCGTTGCACATTCCAGAGAGAAGCCAGGCCAATATTTGAGGCCCCGAAGGCCGCATGTCACCTCCCTCCCTCCACTCCCATCCCCTCGCCTCTGACTGACCGACCCTGCCAGGTTAGCGCACACGGCTTCAAGGCTCCAATCGACCGAGGCCTGCCCACCCGCTGGGCTCACCCCACGGTCCTCCCACCGCCAGGCGCTGTGCCCTGCAGCCCACGGCCCTTCTCCCTGCGCCTGGGCGCCCTGCCCCGGCGCCCCCTGGCGCCGCGACCTTGGGAGGGCGACGCTGGGCGACGCCGGGGCTGCCCTGCTCGGCTACACGCAAGAGTGACCCTAGGCAAGAGTGGCCCTTGGTGCGCGGCTGTGGGGCGCCGCGGGGGGCCAAATCTACGTCAGCGCGCAAGGCCACCGCGGGGGGGACCCCTGCAGGCCCGCACCCAAGGGCCACTCCAGCGCAGAGCCGCTCCGCCGTGCAGCCGACCTGCGCGCGACGGCGACGAGGGCGGCGCGGGGAGCCGCCGCGGGGAGCCGCCGGCGCTCGAGGGCGCACGCGGCGCCCCCGCGCTGGGGCCCGCCGCGGCCCCCCGCGGCGGCGGCGAGCGCGAGCGGCCGCCGCCTCGGGGCCCGGCCGCAGAGGGCGGGCGCCGCCGCGGCGAGGGCCCGCCGCGCGCCAGCCGCCCGCGGGGGCGCGGGCGCCGCGGCGGCGAGGGCCCGCCGCGCGCGGGGCGCGCGCGCGGGCGCGGGCGCTCTGGGGGCTCTGGGCGCCCGGGGCCGCCGTCCGCTCGCCAGGGGCGCGGCGAGGCGGGGACCGGCTGCGGCGCGGGGGCCGGGGCTGGCCGCCGGCGCGGCAGCACGCGGCGGCCCTGCCACAGGCGCCCACGGCCAGGGAGCGGCCTCGCCTTGGGCTGCGCCCGGGTGGGCGCATACGCTGCGCGGCTTCCGATGACGAGCAGCCCTGGGCTCGACCAGGGCCAGCCATGCGAGCGACGATCAAACATTGGTCTTCCGCGGGGCAACATACCGACCTTACGCGGTGGCTTACGCGGGCCACCAGCTTTGTACGCTGCATTGGAAACAAGGGCGCGCACGCGCGACCTTACGCGGGGAGCTTACGCGCCGATGTCGGCGCAATCGTATCCGCGTTCTTACGTCGCTCATGTGGAGGCTCGGCCCGCAGCAAGGACCCCTCTGCGTAATTGCGCTTCGCCGAGAGCTTTCTGGAGACGCCGCCGCCGTCAAGGGGGAACCATGCCCTGCCCAAGAGACCCCTGGAATTCCTTCTCCCCGACATGTCTGCGGGATCCGCTGGGGTCCAGGAGGGCGGAAGCCCCCCGATGCTAATTCCTCCACGTGGCGAGGACGAATCGAGATCGAGATCGGGGCTACTCTGATGGAGTCTGCGCCAGCGACGAAGTCGCCGCGGCTAGACGGGCGCGGGGGCGCGCGCGTGGGCGCGCTCGCGAAGGCCTCGTTCTCCCACTGGCGCTTGGCTGTGGTATCTGGCCACCTCTTGTCCCAATCGCGCTGCTGCCAGGCGTCATCCCTGGCGGTGCCGTCGTCGCCTCCCCACCAGCGGCCCTGGTCTTTGCTGCCGCCGCCCTCCTTCTTCCTCGCCTTGGC